TTCGGAGTCCTTGAACTCTGATTGAGCAATGTTTTCATGATCGATTCCATCAACGGCATGGCAATTGAACCTCATGAGGGTCCTGAGAAAACCCTCAAATAGACAGCAACCATTTTTGAAGCTGTTCAATAGATTAGAATCTCCACCCATATCCACCAAAACGGAAAATTGCCTATCTCATCTCCGCCTTGGACTCTGCCCCATAAACCATATCCACCGTCTGGAGCCCCATACGCCCCGATCCAAAAAAACACGACGCCCTGCCAGCTCGCTCGCTGGTCCCCGGTCGGTGGCTACCGGGGAGGTTCAATAGCCCGGACCACGTCACTCGTGGTCCCGTGGTGCACAACCTCGAGTGGGTCCCCGCAGCAGGGTGCCGCAACGAATGAATCGAAGTGTCGACCCGCAGCAGGTTGGGTCTGTCATGCTATATCCCAATCTCTCTATGTCCAGTGTATAAGGCCTTTCCCAAAGATACTGATAATCCTTTTGTCAACTATAAATGTTGCAAGCAATGGGACATCTTGGGACACACCCAAAAAAGTGGTCAGGTGAAGCTGAGTGGCTCACCAGCACCGAGCACCCCCAGAAACTTTGAAGAAACCCCGAACAAAAATTCAGCACTCTGCCCGTGGGTCTTGGGACAGGGGAAGAACATGAATGAAACTCGTCGTATCCTGTCACCCTCTTCTCGCTGCCCTGGCTTCGTGAAACAAACTGAATTGTTTTTTTCGTTGCGCGGTTACTCATCGGTCGGAACAGAGGATTGCCAAATTGATTGACCTCTTCTGCCCAATGTCACGAACATCGAAAGTCATGTAATTGAATGATGGAGATACAAGCTTTACTGTGCTTAGACATGTGAAAATAGATAAGTGTACATATGTATATGCACTTTAAATACTATAACTTTTTTGACATTATCTGATATCGTATGAAACTACATATCTGATATTAAATCAAAGATATGTTTTCCTTTATTAGATGACTCTCCAAAATTAGATTTAAAAATTGATTTTATGTTGCACTACTTGATCCAAAAAACATGTTAGAATTAAATGTTGTAGTTTACTATATTAACTATTTGTAGTTTACAATATTGACTGTTTATATAAATAGAAAAACTGCATTATAATTTGTGTTGTAAGATTCATAAAACTACACCATGTTGTATTGGTGTTTACACTCTATATATATCAAGAGAAAGAGATAAGTAAAGAGATAATGTCAAGATTGTTGGTCAAATTATACAATGTACAAAAGTGTGCTGCGGTTGCAGCCCCCGTAAGTGGTGTCGAGATAAAGACGCAAGGCTGGATCAGCTACATCACCCAATCTGGGTCCGGCTACCGGAACGTCCCTTACCAGAACCTTTAACGGAGGGATCAGGGAGGCCCAGCTCTTGCAACATGTTGCGTTGACAGCCAGAGTATTGCAGGCTTGCTGCACGGAATCCCAGCTCGTGCTGTCAGCCGAAGAAGGGGTGAAGATTGGGAGCCAGAAGAGCCTCCCTCACCAGCAGGGCTGTTTCGCTGGGGCGGAACACCAGGAGAAGAGGCCAGGGTCGGTTTTTTGGAGATCACCGTGGTTGACCGCTTCAAGGTATTTTGCCAAATTTCGCGACAACCTGCACGTATCACTATACTTCGCCTTATATCTGCAGGCGGCCACGAACTGCTTGCTCGCGCCAAGGCACTCTTCCCACCACGCTCACCCCTCTCCCTCGGTGGCATAAAGCCACATCAGAATCGGCCAGCCCTACGCACCAAGAGTCTTTCTGAAAAGGCGCAGCGAAAGGAATCCAGAAAGGTGAAGAGAATGAAGCGCGCAAGCGCAGCCGCAATGAAAAGGAGCTACGGCTGACGATCACATAAAATCGGTGGCCACCCTTGAGCCAAATGAGTTGAAGGAGACATATTGTCCACGGGCTCGAAGCAGAGGCGTCTCCATGCACAGCGCTACGGCTCAAGGTAATTTAATGGAGCAATGCTCACATGTAAACGACCCCACATTGTGTTGCAGGTTCTGCTTAAACGGACACGTCGCCGATCCCCCCATCTTACTCTTTGGCCTCTGCTCACTGTGCACCAGCGAAGGACGACAGCAAGGAGGGGGGGATGAGGGGAGGCTTGGTATAGGGGAAAGTAATATCTGTGAAACAAACAATTGAGACGTGAATATGACTAGAATCCTTCTCACTCTCTAATCATCTTCCACAGAAACAATACATCAATGCTTTGAGGATCATTTGTGCGACAAGCGCAATTGCATCCCATGTCTCGGCCTCCCCCGGTAAATTTCAACATCTCGATCAGCAAGCCCAGCGGAACAGCTGGCACCAGTTACAGTTTGCAGCTGTGGGCCCCCTAGAGTCGCATCACAAGGTTTCAGTTAAAAATTACACCAGCATAGACCTCAGATAGCGGGCGCATAGGGAATAAGATCAGAGTTCCTGAGAGAAAAAGGATCCCAATGTCTAATAGCGTTCGTTGTCAATGCGCGGTGCCAAGGGGATTGTTCACCTTCCTAGCGTTTGCAGCGCCTGGCGTGACATGACGTCATCCCTGGCATGACGCGATGTCATCCGTGGCATGACACCGTGTCATCCACGAAGGAAAACAACGCATACCACAAGGCAATACACGCATCAGTTTGTCAAGCGCAGTATGAGCGGATATTGTCCCTGGCATGACACCATATATCCACGAAGGGAAACAATGCAGGCAATACACGCATAATATGAGCGGATATCGTCCCTGGCATGACATGATGTCATCCCTGACATGACACTGATGACACCCCTGACGTGACACGATGTCATCTGTGGTATGACGATTTCATCCCTGGCATGACATGATGTCGTCCCTGGCATGACACCGTGTTACATGCACCAACTTCTCAAGTGCACAATGAGCGGATATCGTCCCTGGCACGGGCAAAACGAAACGCGGATCCAGAGCCACACCATTGAGAAGTAAGAACTCCTGTCCTATAAATAGCTTGCAGCTTTTGGAGAAAAAGTTCACCGGACACTAATGATATGACACTCAGGATAGCTGATAACAATTACGCATCATATCGCCTACATCCGCAATGCTTCAGCGAAGCCGCGCGTAGTCTAAGGACACCTCTGACTGGCCGTCGCTGGCATCGACCCCTGCGGATTTAGCACCGTGGGGGCGAAGGTGCACTGCAAGTCAGGCGGCACGGCGGTGTGCTCGGTGGGAGTCAGCAGGAGCTGGAGCCGGGCAAAGTCCGACGTCTTGGTCGCGGCTGCGTTGAGCAGCCACCTGACCAGCCTGTTGTTCCTTGCCTTCTCCGCACCATAGTAGCACACCCCTGTTTCCCTGGCTGTCAGCAAGTGTAAAGCTGCTGGCCAGCCAGGGTTGTCGCCCCACACCTGCAAGAAAAGGTTGCGACCGGATCGCGTACCAGGCAAGATTTATACTCTCCAGAACTTACGAAAAAGTAGTTTTGCAGCAAACTTCCTTGTGAGTTTACTGGAGCGTATTATGTATAGTTGGTCTCGTTTGAACTTTCTCGTTCGTCAGCTCAGGCTAGGGTTTCAAAAGCGCTCTACCAAATAAAGATGCTTACCTAGGCTTTTGCAAACTTCCACGCTAAACGAAATCTTTTTATTTGAGTAGTCTGGTCGAAGCAGGTACCTGTGAATAATTCACTTTGCAAATGATCGATGGCATGTGCGATGTATCGGATACAGTCAATAAGGGCATGTGCGTCTACATTCCCCAGAGCTGACGAGGAAGTAAAGCTAGCTAGACACCGATCAGAGCTGACGAGGAAGTAAAGCTAGCTAGACACCGATCAGAATAACAGGGATTTGGTACACTCTTAACTTTAACCAAATAAAACACAACATCATTGCCCAATGTCTTACTCACCCCAGGTGCATCCGTCTTGGCCGCAGCCGCTTCCAAGCTGGCGGAGCATACGCGTCCGGACTTCTGAGTTGCCCCAGTCCTAGACCCTTCTGAGACGGCTTCATCGCCTTTTTAGATGTAGACCTGCTGGGCCTGCAGCGAGCGCGCGAATGCCAAAGTGTCAAGACCTACTGTCAACGCCAGCTGCACGCACGCACAGTTTTCACAGTGCAGGTTCGAGCTTACTTAGATAGCAGAAGAACAGGGAAGTACATGGCCACATGAGCCTATCGGAATGGCCAGGAACGCGCTGCCATGAAAATGAGGAATGGGTTATACAATGGAGTGGACGACCGTTTGTTGGTTCAAAGTTACGAAGGCCCGAGTGTCTGGCTGGCATACTGACTTTTGGTTTCCCTTGCTTCGAATAAAAGAATACAAGAGAACACCCATCCCGCCTCCACAACCTGCCTTTGTTCCGGGAAGGGTAACTTCAAGTATTTCTTGAGATATATAACTATATAATTGGATGTCCTTTTGTTTTCCAATTAAATAGTTAAAGAATAAATATGTAACTACTACATCATTTGTTTGGGTGTCCTTTTGTTTTCCAGTTAAATACTTAAACAACTAAATTATGATTATTGGATTGAATTGATCTAAAATGTAACAACTATGCATTTCAATGTCCTTGTTGTCTTTTCCGGTATTTAAATATTTAAAGCAATAAAATAACTAAATAAGGAACTATTTAATGCTTCAATTGGATCTGTTCTTATTTTCCAACTAAATCTATAGATTCATTTGTTTGCATTGTTCAATAGCTGTCTTGCATATACACTAACGAAAAATTACCTAGAGGACCCTCTATCATAAATATATATATATATATGCCCGATGCGGATGCAGTTTGGGTCCCGCATCTGGGCTTTGGTCTTGTACGTTTGGGTCAAAGAAACCTGCCATCCAGGGTGTTCAGCTGACCCAAGATCCGCATCAACATCTAGGAGATGGTGGAGTGCATATGGGAGAACGGTAAAGAAAGGCTGCGGCTTTCGGAGGTAAACAATCAAACTACTGTAAAGTCCTTCAACATCTGAGGCCTCAACATCAAATCCATCAGATCACTTCACTCCTTAAGTCCATCTCATCCTTGGACGTTGGCTCCTCTGGCCTTGGAGTAGCGAGCTCAGCTTCGCACGGGGGTTGGTTTGGGTCGCACTCCGCGGATCGAGTTTGGGAATGGAAAAATGGCCGGGTCTTGGGAGTTCAAGACATAACAATAGAACAATGGAACTTCCAAAGACATAACAATGGAAAAATCTCCCCAATGTTCAAAACATAACAGAACACCTTCCCAACGAGAAGAACGGGTGTAGAGGCATGGAGTGAAACAGGAACTGCTCAGTGTTAGACTCGTGTGTGCAAAAATATATAGCACAAGCACAATCGCAAAACCCAGGTGCCAAACTGGAACCCTTAATCTGGAAGATATCTTGGGAATCGGCATGGGTGCGTTCATGTGTTCTCTGAGCTCTGCTTCAAGTTTGAAGCCACTGACAGCATCTTGGTGGGGAAATTGGCACAGGCTGGCATTTCCATTCACAGCACCCGTTGGCAAACTTCACCGCACCCTCTATTGTGCACGCCACGTGGCATCTTCTTGGAGCCGCAGAATGCGTGACGCAGCAGCTCGCGACCAGCCTTGGCCTTCCTGCGAGCTGAGTGTTGAACAGCCAGCCACTGCATCCGACGAGGGGCTTCCATCCAGCATCTCCACCCAGCGGGCGGATCAAAAGAAGAGCTTTCAGTCGTTTGAAGAGGGCGCTCGAAGTCAAAAGGCCTTTTTCCAGACCTTTGGTCCATTGATTTGGTGAAAAGGAAAGGATTAAAAGTTGGGATTATTGACAAGCGGAAGGATCAAGCGAATCCAACACCTCAAAGCAAACGTCCAATCCAAAAGACCTGAATTCCCATACACCCCATGAACCCAACCATGGAAGTGTTAAGCCCTATCTTCAAGGAACTGATCGCCATCGCAACTTACAGGACATCCATTGCAAGGGCATGTCGTGCGTACCAGGGTAGAGATGGATGGATGGATGGATGGATGGATGGATGGATGGATGGATGGATGGATGGATGGATGGATG